CTTTTTTGGTTTTAAAACTACTTCTTTGGGCAATCAAGAAATATTTTTTCAAAAAATAATTGCTACACTTCAGTTTTGACGCAATCCAAACAAAGAGAACCCAAGATTAATACATTTGTGGGGTGAGGAATATGACCCCAAATAAAACATAATTTAAGTGGGACTGTAAAAATGATGAAACCATTCTAAAGTTAATTTTATAAATAGATTTCGAATCAAATTATTATAGCTTAACTTTCTTGTAAATTCCAACATTCTAAGCTAAAGGCTGTTTTGGATAATTCAACCAATCAATCCAGTTGAAAAAGCAAAAATGAGAACTCTTATTCTTTCTACTTTTAAAACAGTTGTGTTGAGATTATGAAAACAAAGCAAGTAAAAGGTAATTCAACATCTGTTGAACTTACTAATTGTTAAATTATTAATTCATTATAGAGTATCTTTTATACACATATTAGAATATACTACTCATTACCAACGTAAAACATTTGATGTACAAGATGAAACTTTAAAAACATTTGTCTATTAATAATGTAGCAATAATAAAGGTAAATATTTGTAAGTTGAAATCTTCTTTTACATTGCAGACAACAGGAAACCAAAACTTCACAATATTTCTAATTTTAATGGTTCTAATTTCTTAGTAGAAGAGTCAAATACTACAGTTGAACTTGACAGTTCCAAGGGTTTTGATTAACACAAAATTGTGCAGGTAGATACCATGTGTATGTCAATGTATTTATATAAAATACACATATATAAGTACATTTGAGAAGATGTAAGTTTGTGAGGACAAAGATGTCAAAGAAACTTATGTAGAAAAGATAGTTGACAAAGACTTTGAAACGAAACTAAAGTTATAAAAATAGTGTCTTTGGCAATAATAGCAAGACTGAATAAATCTTGATACTGGGGGTTTTCCCACCAGAAGCCTGCTACTTGACATAGTATTGGTGTTGATAAGAACTACTGGCCATCAAACTTAAATAATAAAACTTAAAGAGACAGAATGAAGGTACTCAAGTAACAATGTTTACCAGAGCACCTCCCGCAGATCGCTCTCACTGATAAGTGACAAATCTTAGACACGTAGTGGGGAAGGGACCACTTTGTCCAGCATCACGACCCACATGGTCTTGTAATGTCTCCATCTAAGGCCTACTCAAGACAAATTTAAAAACTTCTTTATTTCACTAATAATATCACTCATCACAAGAGCTGGGCAGTTACACGTTGACAATTCAGATGTAAATCCTGGGCTGCCTATGAGTATTCATGACAAAGGCATATTTATCATTGAAAACAAAGGACATGACTTCTTGGTGTTCATATCAAAGCCCGGTGATGGATGAGGCCATGCTAATCAAAAGACTGACGAGAGAGGACACAGATGTTTGCTACTGGGATTAAGAAAAGACGATTCCCTCCCCTAAAACTTCCCCAATAGGGTCACTTCAAACTGTTTAAATGTGTAATTTTAAACAGATATCTAAAAGTTTAAAAAATGACTAACTATAGTTGTTACAATATAATAAATACCAGGGTTTTGTTTTTGTTTTTTTCCCACTTCAAATTATAGAAGCAAAATTCTGGAAACCAAGAAAAGAGCAGACTACCAGAGAGTAATAATTCTCCAGATGTAACCCATAGGAGGAGTGTTAGCCTTCTCAATTATTATTTTTCTATCCAGAAAATGAAGAGAAAGAAAGTCTATCATCCCACACATTTACAAAGAGCAGAAGTGTGAGCTGCCATCAATGTTAGGATCTACCAGGCGAGCAAGGTTTAGGACATTTTACCATATTTGTTTCTGACCACTGTGTCTTTGATTTTCATTCCAAACCCTTTTCAAGTTGAAAGGCATTTAAAAATAGTTGTTGTCCATATTTTAAGGTTTCTTTAAAACTTTAAACACAATTAATTCTGGTGATTTTAGCATTCATCACTATTTTGGATGCGAGAGACCAAAAGTAAGTGTGACATTAAAAAGACAAAGATATTTACAGCTGGAGCTATTGATAGTGCTTCCCCCCATTCCACTGATGAAGAGCCATCATCAGGACCGGCTAATAGAAATCCAATTTACAAGGCCCTGCTCATTTGAGTGCCTTTCAAGAAGCACAGGATTGGTAACCCTTCAGACCTGCAAATAAATGCCTAATCTTCCAGGGCAGAACTACTTTAACGTTGGTTACTGGGCAGTCATCATTGCAAGGTCACCTTGAAGAAGTGTGGATGGCAGGGGGGTGGAGAAAACCTATTATGTAACCCATCTGTTTCCTGCTAATTTTTCCTGCTGCTTTTCAATCCTTGTGAAGCACACTTGTTGTTGATAAGCTTTTAATAGTCGGAGTGGTATATGACAAAAACAAAACAAAACACCATACGAAGCCATATGGGAGGAAGGGACTACTTAGGCATTAAGGGAATACGTGGACAGTTTGTGTCGTCAGGTGAAATGCTAGGCTGGCAGCCTATATGCAAATTTCCCCTTTTGGTAGGATCACCTTCCTCTCAAATGATGGGTACAATAAAATCACCACGATCTCCTTTTGTGCCTCTTGTATGGAAAATCAGCTCTACGTTCAATGTGCTCCTGGTGCTGGACCAGCAAGGCCATTCCATTTGCACAAGTGAGTTGCACCTACATGTTTACCAGGGTTTACTTTTCACTGGCTATGGTAACTATATATCCTACTTATGATGGGCATGTCCTCCTAAAGCATATACCTGCTTCTCACAGAGGGAATTAAAAACTGAATATTTCAGAGGCCTTAACACTCAATATATTAAGAGGTATTTATAGAATAACAAAAATCTTTCACCTTTTGGCCCTTTTATGAAAAATTTACTGGGTGCCTAATACATTTAATATTCAGTAGCATGTGAGAATAATTTTTATGCAACTCCGATAGTTAGAAAGATAGATAACTCAATTATTAGATCATCTATCAAAATATTCAGATGTATAAGAGGCTACTAAAAAGATTGATGACTGAGAAAGTCCACTGATTCTCTAGCCATCATATTCATGCATTTGGCCAGACAACATTTTTCGCTGCCTTCACAAGCAAGCTTCATTACCCATCACTCCACTGAAAAGAGTTTATTATGAGGCTGCCATCTTGGCAAGACTATTATTTAGATGATAAATGCTGAGGGGGAAAACAGTGTGTCTCCCTTTTTTTTTTTTGAAGAAAAAAGATGAGCTTTTCTGACAGATAAAACAAACAGCATCTACATTTCTAATTAACTTAAATTTGGCAGATACAAGTATAGGTCAGTTAAACCTATGATGTTATCTTCTGTCTGAATTTTACCCTTAATTTGTGAAATGTAAATGAACTAATTAGAAGAAAAACAGCATGATAAGTGACAACACGCTTCAGCTGGGTCTTTGCTTCCTGACATTTATGATCAATTATAATAAATTATTGCCTTTTTAAATAATTGATAGAATATATATCTTTTCTCACCACAATGAAAGAAATTTTATCAAGAATTTATAAAAGAAGGCCAAGAACTTAGCAGAATAAGAGAACTTCGCGGTGTACTTTCTGAGGAAAAGATGTATATAAAATGCCATAACATTAGAAACAATTGGGTTAATCTATGCCTATGTACCTAGGGGTGAATTTAGACAAAAAAAAATGTGTAGACATTAAGTCACTGGTAAACCCAGTAAAAACATCATCAGGACTTAACCTTTTCCCTGTCATTTCAAACAGATTTGCTGTGCACTGAAGCAATTAGTGACAATAGTGTGAGTGTGTGTGAATGTGTGTGTGTGTGTGCGTGAGCGCACACGGATGCACGCACAGATGCACCTGCGTACCTGGATGCTGGGTGGGGTGGGAGTGGGGGATTATAGTATTACACGAAGAATGAGAAAAGAGAAAAGAATTTGACCACTTGAGTTTCAGCAGGAAAACCTGTCATTGTTAAGTAAAATTAATCCATGTAATAGTTACGTGAAAAGCGGTTTTCAACGATTCCTATGTAGATAAAGACTCTACATTGAGAAGTACATCTGTAATGTCGAATATAGGTGTCAATTAAAAATTACATAAATCCCGCAAGGCGAGGCGTGTGGGGTGGCCACGCCGAGGCGCGGTGGAGTGCGTGTGGCCAGGCCCTGGGCTGGCAGAGCAGGACCAGGCCTGTCAGTTCTCAGAGCGCACAGACTCGGAGGTCTAATCGGAATGAGGGACACCAGGAAACTGGAGCTGAGGCCTGTGGTAACATAGACAGGAGCTGAAAGTGCTTTGTCTGTACTGAGGACTGGTTTCCAGGGACAAGACGACATTTGAAAGGGTGGAGAAAACAGAAAGAGAAACCATTCAAACAAAGGTGTATGATGTCCAGGACTCTACTGGAAAGTTCAGAGATTATGTAAGATACGTGAACAGTTAAACAACCAAGGACTTCAAAATTTCAGTCCTAATTTTAGGCATGCCACTAAAATACTTATCTTGGAGAAAAGCATCTTAATTTAGCACAGTTATCACATTTGGAAACAGTATGACTGAAATACTCGAATAGTCCTTCTTCCAATATTATGACAAATACATAAATGTTTCTACATTCTGCAAAGTGCCCCAGGTGCTTGGAGAATATTATTACACTTCTTTTATATTTACTAGTTGTGGAGACAGCAAGAAGGTCTTCCCGAAGAGCTACTCCTGATGAATAAATACTCAGCCTACTACTTTTATATTTTAAAAATTCATTAATGGTAAACATTTTTCTTTCCATCCCCACACCATGATATCACATTAAGAAATCATATGGGTAACTAGTCAAAGCTCCACTTCACAATAAGTAAACCTAACATAATATATTTAAACATGACAGAAAATTCTCTCGATAGCTCTCTTCCCTCCACCCGACTCTTCAAGCTCATAACACATGATACACCTCTGAGGCAACTACTTCAAAAGCTATCAAAGATTTACCTTTATGTACACTAACTCCGCTCTTTAGAGGCAATCTTCAAACACCCGAACTACAAAGAATCGGTTCCTATCACAAAGCTGAAGACTGCAGAACAGCATAGAGAGCTCCTCATTTGTTTAGTTTTTCTCTTTCAAGCACTGCGTGTTTATCATTTTGAAAAATGAATTTAATTTCTTTAATTAGAAGCCTTAATAGTTCCAAGTCAGCTTTTCAGCAGTCATTTCTGTCCACTTCCATTTTTCAGTGTCTCTGTATTGAAGGAAGCGGCGTTTCATGTTCGAGTGTGTTTATCTGTGAAGAAGACAGGCAAGGAGAGACATGCAACGAGTATCAGGTAACCTGCCCAAACCTGAGTCCCTCGGTGTGGCAGGAAGGTCAGACCCTCTCAGCATTGTACTGGGGTGTCAAAATGCGTCAACAAACCATCACACCACAGGAAGAAGAATGACCTTTCCCTCCTTTACGTCTGAGCTGCCGATGGAGATCTGGACGTGGGGTACGCATGAATGGTTTTCCAAGCTGCTTGACAAATGCAACTCCCAAGGTTTCTTTCAAGTGTGATTGTTAAAAGGTCCGGGTTCCTACATTTTGGTACAACTTTCTAAACCCGTGTAACTCACGCTGGACACTGATGTTGGGTTAACTATCAGTACTCCAAATGATCAGACGCAAGGCAATGAGACTACAATTATTCTATAAATGTTTAAATGTGAGAGATGAAGGTTGAGAGTCAGTAAATTTAGAAATAATTTTATTCACTCGGAGAGTAATATTTATTGTTAACAGATTCTCTAAACTTCATTATAGCTGTCATATCACAGTTGTCTTCTTTCTCTCCCTGTCCATAACTACAGGCATTTCCCCCCCCCCCCCCCCCCCCCCTCTGTGCAAACTCGCTCCACTTATTCCTACTGAGGATAAGCCCTGAATCAGTCTGTCTCTGATCCGCCACGTGGACTCCTACTGAACAACCCAGCAGCTTTTGGACATCTCAAAACACTGCAGCTGAAGTGATCACTAACCTAGATTATTTTCTGCTCTCCATTCTTTCATAGCATCATTGCTGTCCCCATCATCAGTATCACAACCTCAGTTATCTTTGTTCCACACCCCCACTACGACACTGAGTTGCATGCCAAGTTCTGTGCACCCGGGCCATTATCTCTGCAAGTCCATACAGTCGCCTCCCATTTCCCCACCGCTGTCATCACTGGGGAATTAGTGGCTTAGTTTAATATGAATGGCTGCATTAGCAATGGTGTTCCCAGCCCCAACTTCTTGTTTCTGTCCACTCTCAGCATTGCTACCAGAAGGTCCATTCTAAAGTTAGGTCCTGATTATGCCACTCTGTTACTTAAAAATCTCCCCTGGCTTTTCGGCTGTTTTTCCAAGCTGCTTGGCAAATGCAACTCCCAAGTGACCCTAACCTGGGCACCTAACCTCTCTATGCCTCAACTTTCTCATATGAAATGAGGACAAAATACTAGTATCTCCCTCATAGGACTAATACATGGATTAAAGAGGACTTCAGCCAGTGCACTGAGCACAGGTGGTGCTCAGTGTTAGTTACATTTGTAAGCTATGAACAAGCTCTGTTTCCTATTAGATTGAATTACATGACTTGAAGGCCAAGTTAGAGTTTACTCATCACTGTATGCTCTGAAATGCATATGCTGCCTGTACCGAGAAGGAACCAAATATCTACTGTATTCAATCATATGTCTATGTGACTACTGGTGGACCACTTTGCTAGAACATGCTGAAGTAGGGATATGTGGTGGTAAAATATTCATTTCACATGAACACAGTGAAAGACAATGGGGCTGATGGAATATTTTGGTCCAGTGATGGGTTCAATATGGCTTTACATACCTGGCCTATGCACATGGCCAGTGACTTCATTTCACCACTCTCCTAGTCAATATAGAGTACTCTGAAAACATCTTAGCTGAAGCTATCAAGGATGACTGTGAAAGCCTCATATTTTTATGTAAGTTGATGAGCCTTATGAATTAAAAAAATGTCCCCTTTACGAAATAGAAATTTTGCATGTAGTTTGAATTTATAATTACTTGAAATGAGCCATCAGGGATGCTATAGGACTAAATTAAAAATGGGGAGAAGGTGATGCTTAGTAAAGCTGCCAGTGACAAAGGGGAAGAAAATGGCAAATAGGAATATATAAGGAGAAGCTGGAAGAGGTTAACTTTCCCGGTATAATCCTTGTGAGAAAATAAGGGTGAATAACCCACAGGAAACATCTCAGTGTCAGTGACTAAAGTTGGAAAGGGAGTAAAACAAGAGAATAAAATTCACCCATATCATAAGAGTAGACGAAGAATGTAAACAAGGGAGCAAGAAATACACAAAAGAATATAAGTGCCTCGTGTTACTGTTTATTTATTTATTTATTTTATCCTCACCCGAGGACACTTTTTTGGTTTTTGTTCGGATAGAGTGGGAGGGAGAGAGAGAGAAACATCGACGTGAAAGGGACACATTGAGTGGTTGCCACCCACACAACGCAACCAGGGGCGGAGACAAAGTGCAACCGAGGTACGTGCCCTTAGTGGGAACCGAACCCGGGACTCTCTGGACCACAGGCCGACGCTCTAACCGCTGAACCAAACCGGCCAGGGCTCGTGTTACTGTTTAAATGGAGTTCACAGAAGTTTAGTTTTTACACAGACATGACTTCCAGAGTCGATTAGAAATAAAGGATGCTGACCATTGCTATTGTGTACCCATACAGATTTCTGTTTTATGAGAAGAGTATGGGACACACAGATTGTATCCGTGAGTCCTTTTCCATGTTCCCCATGTGTGAGAAGGGAATGATCAAGGGCAAACCAGGGCAATGCAGCCTCATCACCGATAGGTCTCCCATCCCAGGAGATTTTTGAATGATGTCTAATAGCAGAAGATACTAAAACAAAAAACAAAAACTGGAGAAATGTGTCTCTTACATGTAGAGGGAGAGGAAAGGAATAATTGCTGTTAAAAGGGCTCTATCTCACCGAAGATGGCCAGCTTAATCTTAGTCCGAAAGGCAGCAGAAGTCCTTAGTGAGTGCCATCGAAACGGGGAATAAAAGGAGGGCATCTGTAATGCTTTCAACAATAAAGATAAATTAAAAAGAAAAATAATATAAGCAATTTTATGCAGATAAAAAAATTAAAAAAAAAGATGACCTAACAACCATAGGCTGTTAAGGCCAATCTTTGGCCTTAACCATACCAAAAGCCTTCCCTTTTGTTGGGCAAAAAGTAGTGACTGAAAATTCTGTCCCACTCTCGGGGGTCTAGGAGAATCAGAGGTAGAATATATGGATGTCTGTATGACAGCGAGATACCAAAAGAAAGGAAGTCGGTCTCCACAGTACTCTCACAGATTATTCTATTCATAGTTGATGTTTAATACTATTTGTTTAGGGTGACAATGAAGTCTATAAATTAAGCAGCATAAATAAGATTACAAGGTTAATGTTGAACAAGACAAATTGGCTTACAATGTGTTAAATTATGTGTTAAAACCCACAATTGAGAGACATCTACTTGGGGACAAGATGGGGTAACAAGGACTGGATTTATCCTCTTGTTGGAAATAACATAAAAAAAAAAACAAAAATACATGACAATAAACATTAAGCAGTAAGGAACAGTGACATCTGAGTGATGAGAAATAAAACCCCAGCTTGCCAACTGGAGAGTTTCCAGGCTGCAAAGTGGGGAGGAGGAACCTAGACGGAGCCAGTGTTCTCTCGCTGAGTTCAGGGGTCACCGCGGGGAGAATGGGAAGACCCGGCAGCTGGAGTGTGCCATAAAACAAATCTCAATAACCGTAAAAGAATTCAAGTTTGGTTCTGACCTTAATGAACTAATAACAGAAAGATATGTAGAAATTTTCTATATATTTAGTAACAAAATAGCATACTGCCTGTGAGTCAAAGAAGAAATGAAAAGTTTTAGAATGTTTGGAACCAAATAAAAATGAAAATGCAACATATACAGTATTTCAAAGCAAATACAGCACTAAACTGCCTATATTGGAAAAAAGAATGGCTTCTTCTCAATAACCTCAGCTTTCTACCTTAGGAAACTAGAAAAAGAAGAGCAAATAAAACTAAAACTAAAGAAAAGAAAAGAAATAATATAGATTAGAGTAGAAATCAATAAAAGAGAAAAAAAACAATAGGAAAAAAAATCAATAAAACTAAACATTTGTTCTTTCAGAAGACCAATACAATTAATAAACCTCTACGCAGACTGATCTGGAAAAAACAAAAAGATCAATACCAGGAATGAGAAAGGTGACATCACTACAGATTCTACAGATATTAAAAGCATAAAGAAATATTTTAGCAAGTTGATGACAATACATTCCACAACTTAGATGAAATGAACAAACTCTTTGATTTTTTTTTTTTTAATCCTCACCTGAGGATATTTTTCTATTTATCTTCAGAGGGAAAGAAAGGAACAGAGAGAAACGTCAACATGAGAGGGACACATTGACTGGTCACCTCCTGCATGACCCTGACCAGGGCCGGGTCAAACTGCAACCGAGGTACGTGCCCTTGACCGAAATAGAACCTGTGACTCATTGGTCGGTGGGCTGACACTCTACTACTGAGGGCTAGGGCATGAACAAACTCTCTGAAAGATGCAAAGCACCAAAATTCACTCAAGGAAAAAAAATAGGTAACTTGAATGCCATCTTTTTTTTTTGGTTTTTTTTGGCTTTGAAATTTAGAAACACATTTTATTTAAGATCTTAAATACAATTCCTAAAATGCAAACTTCTCCAGAAAACCGTGGCTACACAATAATGCATTGTCTCTACCATGTTAAGAATGTACATTAGATTCAAATACCACCATCCTTTAACAATTTGAGCAAAGATACAATGCCTAAGGAACAACATACATAGACTTGCAAAGGATGGGTTGGTTCACTTCAAGCACCATAAAAAAATAAAAATAAAAATTTTAAAAAAGAAGAAGAGCAGAAATGCATGGGTTTTCAGGTAAATATATTAAGTTGATCCTTTGGCTATAGGAATCAGGATATTTTATCATGTAGCATTAACACAAAATTAGAAAACTGTGTAGTGTCAAAGGGATACAACCACCAGTATTCAATGTTGTCAACTAGGCAAGAACACGTTCTATTGTTTCTTCTTCATCTAATTCCTGCATACAGTGGTAGCAGCTTTGAAATGAAAAGAGGAGCTTGCATTCCTTTTATTTTCTGTTTAAAGCAAAACAGAAAAATTGAAACATAAGCCCTGTT